TAGATTTATATGGTTACTCTGAGCTCGGTCAACCATTATATGTAATCAAATGGTTACCTACTTTAGTCTACCATTACAATTTTCATTCCTTCAAATATATTCCTAACAACGATTCAGTCATGCAGCTTTTTTTCAACTTGCTAAGTTTTTTTCCTTCTCGTCATCAAACCTAAACCATGATACATTCATGTTGATTTTTTCTTCTTTCCTTTCCTCTCTCTCTCTCTCCTTTTTTATCATCATAATCGTCATCATCAGCATCATTCTGCTTCTCCTTTATCCACCTTCATATTCATCACTGGGACATTCCATTACTTTGCATCAATTCATTTTGCCTGATGGTTTGTCATTTTGTAAATAGATTTAGGGTACGTTTAAACTAAATTATATAATGTTCAACATTTATTTCTATTAATATATTTCTTTATTTTCCTCTCTATTCAAACAGGAATAAACGTTTACTTGTATTATTCACCTAAAGTCAACACTGGCAACAATAATTGTTAACATGAATTTGTGGTTTTTTTCGTAACCACGTAAGCTTTGATTAAAAGAAGTGAGGAAAAGTAATCAATTTTTTCAAACTCCATCAAACAATCACAATTGCTAATGACTTTTTCCCCTCATTTATGCAGGTATTTGAATGCAAAATGCTGTCATCATGGTTCAACTGGACAGTTTTTTTCTTCTATGGATGCTACACATCTTCATCTTTACCTGACTGATTTATAAACCATTGATGATGGAGACAAGTTGGAACTGCCAGGATTACTCAAATATTAGAGTTTACATGGGATTCTGTTGTGATATGAAGCAATTTACCAGCCAATTACCAGCCAAGAGGCTCACAAGATTAATTATGAATAAACTTCAAGATTAGGAGGGAAACAATTAATTCAATTATTGAAGGCGAATATGAGTTTATGGAGCATAAAAAAACACTTCAGCATATGATTAGCTTGTAAAGATTTTTTGTGTTCATCCTCATTTCTGATGACATTGTGTAAATGCTATTAGCTATCATTATGGAGAAGCAAGTCACAGGCATGGTTAAACCTTGAATTATCATTTGAATTAATTGAAACTGTCAATCAAGAAGAGTCTGTGAATGTTAAAAAACTAAGTAAAACGAAAGAGAAGGAAAAGATTAAATTCAGACAAATGCTGATAATTGCTAACAGTTACGAGAAGAGGTTAATACCATGAGGATATCCTTTAACTGGACTCAGGAAATCAATAAAGAACCACAAGATTAACTAGGACTAATCCTTGATCAACAATTGTTCAACCTTTAAAATGATCAAGTCTGAGCTGTTACAAAGTTTCTAAAAATAGCATTGAAGACAAGTTTAATTGAAAGCAAATGGTTGTTGACAAGACAATGCATCACAAGATTGAAACAATTCAACACAAATTTATCAACAAATTATCTTTACTCATTTTCATTATGAATTTCTTTGGAAGAGGAAAAGTCTTTAAAGAACCAGCAATAATAGGAAATGATGAGAAATGCACAAAATGATTATTATTTCAGTAATAATCGGAGTTATTTACAAAGAAAAATGGAAAACAAAGTGGAAGAACTTGAATTGAAATTGGTTTTTATACAACAAAAGAAAGTAAACAAAATGTTAATAATTGTAGTTGAAACAATTTAATTTGCAAACTGTTATTAGATTGAAAATTTTTCACCATTCATCTAAATCTAGAAGTACATTTGACTTTATAAATAGTTGATAAAGCAAAGTAAATTGTTGAAACAATTCAATGTTGAAGATGCCTTTAATGATTGAAAATAGTGTAACCAAGAAAAGCTTAATTGAATTTAGTTAAACAGTTGATTTAAACGTTGATCTCTCTTTAAAGCGCCACAATAAATAATAACAACAATGAAACATAATAATAACGTTATTAAGAAATGATAATGTCCATTAGAAAGCAAAAAGAGATATTTTATGATGACCCTTTGAAAATAGCAATTTAAGAAGGTTAAATGGTTTCAGTGTAATGGTTGAAAAAAAGCGATGAAAGCCAGAATCTCGGAGAATCCAATGGAAGAAGAAAAAACAAAGTATATTAAGTTGATGATGATAGAGATGACGATGAAATAATTTGTGATCATCATAATCATTTATCTTATTTAAGTTGAAAAATGGTTTTCCAATCAAACATAATAAAGTTATCGACTTGCAGTTAGGCCAAACAACACAGCAAATAATGTAACAAACAACTTCCGAATTCAAGCCATATTGCCTTTGGACGATGAACAGCTTAAGCAGAAAACGTTAACAATAATTAATTAAATTCAAAAGTTAACAGAGATTAATTAAGATGAATAAGAACGATAAAAAATGAAATTAATTTGTTTTTAATATCCCTTCAAGTATCAGATCTGGAAAAGATTAAGGCAAGGATTGAATACTTGAAAAGGCAACCCAAGAAGGCAAAAAAGGAGCCATTTTCAAATAGTCTATCGACTAACCTTTTTTTGTTATTTATAGCAATTTATTTAGTCAACATTTCCTTATTCAACAGGATCAATTGTTTATCCCATTCACAGATGGAATCTGAACAATCTGATTTTCTCTTATCCTTTCATTTTCTATTCTATCTTTCAAGTCGATTTTTTGCATCCAAATTAGGATAAACTAACTCATTATTGGCATTTTTTGCTCAACATTTTTTTCTTGTTTAGCTTAAGGTTCAAAAAAGGTTGGATTATTGGGAAAATTGTCAGCTTTTCTTGTCGCTTTCTTGGCTTTTGAGTAACCTGAAAATTCATTGAAAGTGAAAAGAGTCGACTTTCAATGCTGTAAACTCTGTTTATTGTACATTTTTGTTTTGTTTCACTGTTACCCTTTCCGTGTGTTTTATTTATCTTACATTATTTATAAATAACTCCAGTTCAAATTCAATATCAGTTTCAGTTTCTATTTATCTAAGAGTTTCCACTTTCCTCATCTCTTTACCATCTTCAATCTCAGAGTTGCTTTTTTTCATTTTCATTATTATTTACTCAACGTTCAGGTTGTGAGTTGTAGAGCTGAACAGTACAAAAAAACCAAGAAATAAATAAACAGCCAAACGCATACAGTAATTTCCCTTGTAGTTACTTTGCTCCATTTTTGTAAACAATAACCTTTGAAGTTAATCAAATGTTTGTTGATCAATAATGCAAAACGTTACCTTTGCCATTCACACTTGCAAGGTAAGTATATGAAACGCCCGAGCCAGTTTTTAATGAGAGCGATGTCTTTTGATGAAAAAAGCAAAAGTATTGGACATATAAACTAAAGCCATAAGTTCTTACTTGACCATGCTGCGAACTGAATTCAGCATTAAATCGCGTAAAATAGTGAAATTGAGTTGAAATGGAAACAAGAACAGATGAAGACTAATAAGACATTCAGCTTTGGATTTTTTCAAATAAATACATGCAAAGAACAGTGCAATGACAGTTACGACGATGTGTTGCATAAAGATCAATCTAGATGTAATTATCGATGGACATCGGAATCGTGTGCGAAGTGACTAGGCAAAGAAGCAAACTTCAAAACTGATCAGAAGGTAAATCTCAAACAAATTTTTCGACATTAATTTCAACCCGGGAAATTCGCGGCAAAATTATTCATCTATTTCCAGGATCCTATTGGTAAATTTGTATCATTTTTACAAAAGTAGCAAAGATTATTGTAGAGGCTACTCAACCAGCAGTTAAATGACCACAGCATTGCTTATGGCTTATTTCAAAGTGAGCCATACTACGACAAATTAGAATACGGGTGTACCCAAGGAACAAATATCAAACTGGCTGCTAAAAGGAACAAGAAATACGCTTTTATTAAAGATTTGGAGGCCAAAGAGGCAGAAGCTAATGGAACCAACATCAAATACGATTGTCCCTATTGTGGGGATACAAAAAGTGCAAGACATGACACAACTGTCCGGCATATGAATATACGCAAAGACAAACCACATTCCGTAAGTAAAAAAAGAAAGGAAATTAAACCAATAACGTATATTAATTTAATAACAATGTACAAAATAGCTTTTTTTCTAATATATCAAAGGGTCAAGCCAGGGTGGATAGGGTGGAAATATGGAGACGACCCCTCAAATTTCAGTTTGAAAAACGCGCTCTACAAATTGTAATGCATTTTACTATCCTACTCTAAAATAATGAGATAAAATTCACTCGGGCTACGCCCTCGTGCTTTACATCTCATATTTTACTATCCTTTTTAAATTAACTATCTTCTTCGAACACTTAATATTTGTGTTTACTTTTTTTATTAGTAATTATTCAAAACAATATATTTCTATTTATTTTTGCGTTTTTTTGCCCATTTGGCCGTTTGTTTGGTCTTTTAGTGACACCCGTAAAAGTCTTCTCCTCGACGCTCACTAGATTCTGTAAAGTGATCTTCAGGAGATGACTCGGTGGATTTTCACTCGGCTCATCCTAACAAGTAAATGTTATCATTGAAAGGTGAGTAAAGGAACCCAAAAAGATGTGCAAAACCCAAATGAAGGTAAATCACGCTACAATTGCAGGTAATAAATTGCAGTTCAATTGAATGTAAGTTTGATTATGAAAAGATTCAAAGTTTTCTATTGTAATCATTCTCATGATTAACATTTGTAATGAAAGTCAATGGGTGTTCAACGCTTAACATACAAAGTTATCATGACCATCATCATCATTACATGTTAATATATACTGAGTTGTTCAATTTTCGTGAATCTCATTGAGCAAATGAAAATGATTATCAAGTTAGGCAAGTTAAAGTGTTAATCAATTGGAAGGGAAAAGAAGTAAAAATGAAAAGCAAAATTGTTTTCAACAAAAGGCAAGGTTTGGTATTAAATGTAATATTATGTAAATGAAAATTGTTTCATTTGTGAAGGCTTTTGATGAAACAATTTACATGAAACTGATTGCGAAGAGAAGAAGAAAAAATGTGAATGAAAATGAAATTTTCATTATCAAATATGAATGAATCAAATTGAATGAAAATTGATTAATTTTGCTTCGAGAAGGAAAGTGAAAGAGAAAATGTTTGCATCAAAACTGATTAAGAATGACAAATTGAAGGGAGTGAAAATATTTTCACTGGGAATGAATATTTTACTTGATCAAAGTTGTTGGTGAAACTTTGTCTCAATCTGAGGGAATTTCATTCTTTCTTCATTCCATTTCATCAATGAAAATACAATGTTTATCAACATGCAATCTCATCATGAACCATTCATTTGGTGCTCTACAAGATCATGGATGTTGCTAAGCCACGATTGGATACGCTACACCGAGTGTTCAGTAGTGTTTAACCTTGTGAAACTTTCATTCTTTTGCTTTTCTTTCAGACTTTTTTCTCGACTTTAATTTGTTCATAATTTTCATGGGAAATGTTGGGTAGCTTTTATTGCCTCTCAATGAACAACTGAATGGGCAAGTGTGGAGAAGAATAATGTTGGACATTTTTTATCTGTATACTCTTGTCATGAGATGAGTTTTATAATTGTTAGCAACATTTCATGGTAATTTTTTGTGTGGAAAATGAAAATTGCCAAATAAATTCTCATTGAAAGATATCGATATTTTGACACGTTTTTTGCTCTCAACTAGCAAGTTGAACAACGCCTTGATCCATTACAAAGAAAGCATCTAAACTGGTTTCGAATGATAATAATCAATGTTTCATTCAATGATACTTCCACACTTATGGTTATTGAAATGGCAGCTTTGGGACTATTTTGCATAGCAATGTATTTAACGGAATTTCCGAGTTTAAAAAATGTCTACAAAACGACTCTGTCAACAAAATGTTGGAACAAATTGTACAAATTTTCTCTCTGTTTTAGGCAATGACAAACCGCTTGTAAAAGCCAACTTTTCACACTGAAAATTTTGAAGTTTGCTCTCGAACTTTTTGGTTGTTCACTTATTTGACTTTAATGCAAAATTT